AGTTATAGAATATAATAGATTGTCGTGAAGCGACAATAAAAAAAAATAGAACCTAACCTAAGTACAACAAAACAACAAAAGTAGAGCCAGAAAACAATATATTTAAATTTATAAAAGGTATTTACAATTTTATAAAAAAAAATTAAATGAGGATGATGATGAATGGAGTGAGAGTACAATTAGATTACAAAAAAAAATATAAAGGTAGGAGAATAGGGGAATAAAGAGATGTAGTGGGGCCTAAAAGTCGAAGCGACACACGTTGCGATTGTAGAGGTAGGTTTCTTAGCAGCGACGACACGCAGCGCCTGAAGCCAGCACACGCCGGTTGCGCTTGTAGAGGTAAGTTACTTAGTAGCGACGGCACGCAACGCCTGGAGCCAGCACACGCAGCGTCCGGAGCCGGCGCACGTAGCGCCTGGAGTAGGTGCGCTCAACGCTTAGAGCCAGCAGTTGCAGCGCCCAAAGGTAGCGCCGGCGGTAGGTGCACTCGGCGCCTGGAGTAAGTAGTCGTAGCGCCCGGAGTAGTGTGGCCCCCGCGCTTGTAGTAGTCTCGAAGCGACTTCCGAGGTAGATGGAGGCTTGTAGGAATCCGGAGTGGTGCGGCTCCGCGTTTGAAGAAGGCTTCGCCGAAGACTTCACGTGTAGGTGGAGGCTTGCAGGATCCCGGGGCAGTGCGGCCCCGGGATAAGGCCTTTAGGAGATACTTCCAATTCGCGAACTGAAGCGAGACTGCCTTTCTTCACCGATTGTTCGGCTTTTATACCTTTCTAGAGAGAACGGAAAAATTATTTAAATTATACGCAAATTTTTTGTAAATGGTCAAAAGAAAAGAGGATTTATGTGAAATTATCGAAATAGGAATAACAGATCGGTAGCAAATTTGAATATAATTACCATGGAAACGATATAAATAAGAAAGACAAAACATGTCAAATTTTTGTTTTAGGATTATAATAAGAAAACTATAAGATTTAAGTGGAAAATGAGATATTATTGATATAGGAAAAAAGGTAGCGCAACTGCCCACACAAAGTCCAAGATTGTAGAGTTACGGAAAACTAGCTAAAAGATCGAAAAAAGGTAGACTCCATTGACACCAATTTAAAAGTGCTGATAATGTGAAAATACGAAGTAGAAATGATTTGTTATTGTGTTCTTATGGTTTAAAATCGTTACAGGATCCTATGGAAATAAAGGTGATGTAAAATATCCAGTTTTGAGGTGAATGCAGAAAATCGAAACAGAATGGAAAAATGAATTTAAAATAATGTAAAATGATACATGAGTAGCATAACACTACATTTTCCCCCCGACCCTGGAAAATTTTTGACTTAGCAAAAATTTTGATATATACATTCTAAAATAAACCATAAAAACACAGCTTTGCAGAAACAGACATCACCAGGCAAAATCAGATATACCATCTCTTACATTCATCATCTGCCATTCAGGTAAGGGTGGAGTTCACATTCAATGACTACCACTCTAAAAGTGTGTTTTCGAAACGACATTAAGGCTTATTTAAGGAGTAGTCATCCGCTCCTGCGTGGAAAAAAAAAATAAATTAGTCGAAGAAACACCACTCTTAAAAGTGTGTTTTCGAAAGGACATTCAGGCTTATTTAAGGAGTTGTCATCCGCTCCTGCGTGAAGATAAAAAAATTATTAAGGGAGTAGTCAGCCGCTCCCAAGTGAAGATAAAGATAAAGAAATCAATCTTAAGCAAGCTTTAGTCGCTATGACTTAAGTAAAGATTAAGAACGGCCAGAGCGGTAGGGCTCAAAGCCAGAGATCAGCAACATCACTAGCGAGATGTGTCTGAAATAATAAGAAGTGAAGATTAACCTACCAAACAAACAAACAAATTAAAAGAAATAATAACAAGGTGAAAATGATGGTGATATTTATACATATATACAAATTAAATGTGATATTTATACATATATACAAATTAGCAGTTAATAAATGTTTAGATATTTATACATATATACAAATTAACAGTTAGTAAATGCTTAGAAAAGTTATGAATCGTCTCGCTTCAGCTTTGAAAAACAATTTTATATAAAGTGTAAAGTTCAAAGTTAAGTTTAAGAAATAAAGATTTAATTGAAAAGTTATACCTCTTTAAGTTACCTAGAATAAAAACATTAAAGTGATGAATGTAAGTGTTGTGTGAAATGTAGGTCTAAATATAATCGAGATAAGTTGAAACACTAGATGAAGTGTTGTTTTAGAATTTGGAAGGTTATCTACAATAAAAATATTGAAGTGATGAATGTAAGTGTAGTGTTAAATGTAGGTCTAAATATAATCCAGATACGTTGAAACACTAGATGAAGTGTTGTTTTAGAATTTGGAAGATTATCTACAGTAAAAATATTAAAGTGATGAATGTAAGTGTTAAATGTAGGTCTAAATACAATCCAGATAAGTTGAAACACTAGATGAAGTGTTGTTTTAGAATTTGGAAGGTATGAAAAGGATGAATAAATGAATGATGAATAATGAGTTAAGAACGAAAGGGAGAGCAATTAAATCAAAAGGGAATGGACAAGGCGCAGTAAAGGTGAAGAATTAAGAGAGAAAGAGGACTTTTACGTTGGGCGCCAAATGTCGTGAAGCGACAATAAAAAAAAAATAGAACCTAACCTAAGAATAGAATAGAATAGAATGATTTTTATTCAATATGGATTATTACATAATACTTATTGAAAGTCATTATTTTATTTACCAAGTTAAGTACAACAAAACAACAAAAGTAGAGCCAGAAAACAATATATTTAAATTTATAAAAGGTATTTACAATTTTATAAAAAAAAATGAAATGAGGATGATGATGAATGGAGTGAGAGTACAATTAGATTACAAAAAAAAATATAAAGGTAGGAGAATAGGGGAATAAAGAGATGTAGTGGGGCCTAAAAGTCGAAGCGACACACGCTGCGATTGTAGAGGTAGGTTTCTTAGCAGCGACGACACGCAGCGCCTGAAGCCAGCACACGCCGGTTGCGCTTGTAGAGGTAAGTTTCTTAGTAGCGACGGCACGCAACGCCTGGAGCCAGCACACGCAGCGTCCGGAGCCGGCGCACGTAGCGCCTGGAGTAGGTGCGCTCAACGCTTAAAGCCAGCAGTTGCAGCGCCCAAAGGTAGCGCCGGCGGTAGGTGCACTCGGCGCCTGGAGTAAGTAGTCGTAGCGCCCGGAGTAGTGTGGCCCCCGCGCTTGTAGTAGTCTCGAAGCGACTTCCGAGGTAGATGGAGGCTTGTAGGAATCCGGAGTGGTGCGGCTCCGCGTTTGAAGAAGGCTTCGCCGAAGACTTCACGTGTAGGTGGAGGCTTGCAGGATCCCGGGGCAGTGCGGCCCCGGGATAAGGCCTTTAGGAGATACTTCCAATTCGCGAACTGAAGCGAGACTGCCTTTCTTCACCGATTGTTCGGCTTTTATACCTTTCTAGAGAGAACGGAAAAATTATTTAAATTATACGCAAATTTTTTGTAAATGGTCAAAAGAAAAGAGGATTTATGTGAAATTATCGAAATAGGAATAACAGATCGGTAGCAAATTTGAATATAATTACCATGGAAACGATATAAATAAGAAAGACAAAACATGTCAAATTTTTGTTTTAGGATTATAATAAGAAAACTATAAGATTTAAGTGGAAAATGAGATATTATTGATATAGGAAAAAAGGTAGCGCAACTGCCCACACAAAGTCCAAGATTGTAGAGTTACGGAAAACTAGCTAAAAGATCGAAAAAAGGTAGACTCCATTGACACCAATTTAAAAGTGCTGATAATGTGAAAATACGAAGTAGAAATGATTTGTTATTGTGTTCTTATGGTTTAAAATCGTTACAGGATCCTATGGAAATAAAGGTGATGTAAAATATCCAGTTTTGAGGTGAATGCAGAAAATCGAAACAGAATGGAAAAATGAATTTAAAATAATGTAAAATGATACGTGAGTAGCATAACACTACAAGATATATAGAATAGACCTTACCTCCGGACTTGACGGACTGACTTCAAGGTGTACTTTGTTGACTGCTCCTGGAACTCATTGACATTTTTTTTAAATCTTTTCGCTATCATTGGACATTGTGAGTCGTGCACTTTTGGATTTTCCAAACTTTTTTTTAATTGAAGTTTGACATAAAGATTTCAGAAAATTGGAAGTATTTTCTGAAATCTTTATGTCGTTATAAGTGAAAACTTGTGTGTATTTAAACTACTTAAAAAAATTAAGTATACTCATGTTTTACGTAATTTTTTTATGCGCTTAAGTCATGCACAATTGGATTTACCAATAGTATTTATTTTGTATATTTTCTGGAATTTTGTTGTAAACGTCATCATCGCCCCAAGAATGAATTACTGTCTACGTAGAGTCGAGTAACTACGTGACGACATTTTCCATATTTATCTGACGAAATGTGTTGATGAATTTTATTACGCCCTCACCATGTGACATCACGTACACATATTAAGGCTCGTAATCGTTTAATGACGCATGAATTTTTTAAAGACAATTTTTTCAATTTAATAAATTTGGTAAGGAGAAAACCCTACCTCTTTTGATGCCTGCTGATAGATGAATGAGTCTTTGGCGATTAAACGACGGCTGTTTCTCCGAAATAAAATACTGACAAACAATTTAACTGAAGGGTGATTTATATAAAATACTTTAAAAAGAAAACAGGACAACCTTTTTACTGGTAACAATTCTTTCGCAGTCCGGATTTACTGGAAACGAGGCATTCCATCTCAGTCCTCAGGGGTGACACAGGTGCATTTTGATTCTTAATTGAGGATAAATGTACCAGGCGGTCCCATAATGAACTGGCCTGATATAGTTCAACGCGACATGTCGCTACATGTTGTGTTGCATTAAATAGTACGTTTATCGTGCACTTAATATAAGAAACATGCATCGACATGAAATGCTTAGTCTTAGTTTAACAGGCATTTGAATAACGAGAGTCGCGTATTTTTTCAAAATGTCGAAAACTGAGTATCGAAGTGTCATAAAGTTTCTGTTTAAAGAAGGTTTTTCCCCTGCCCAAATAAAAGAACGATTGGATGGCGTGTATAAGGAGTCTGCCCCCTCCTATAGCACAGTGAAAAATTGGGTGAAAGAGTTTCGCCTCGGGAGAGAAACCGTCGAAGACTTTGGCCACGATGGTCGACCTGTGGAAGTGCTCACTCCTGAAACGATTGCTCTTATCGAAGAGGAGGTTCTGAATGACCGCCGTTTGAAGATTAGAGAAATTGCAGCAAGGCTTGGGCTCTCTAAGAGTACCGTTCATCGCGCGATCCATGAACATCTTCACATGAAAAAAGTGAGTGCAAGATGGGTACCGAAACTTCTTTCAGCGGTACAGAGACAGGAAAGAGTGCGCTGCGCTTCGGAGTTTTTGGATCTTTGTGGCGAAAATCCAAAGACTGTGATCGAGCGGCTAGTGACTGTGTAGTGATGAAACTATGATCTTGTATTATGATCCACAAAGCAAGCGCGAGTCAATGGAATGGCGTTATAAGGGTGAAAAGCCCCCTAGAAAGGCAAAGGTGCAACAATCGACTAAAAAACTGATGTGCACAATATTTTGGGATTTTCAAGGCATTTTGATGGTGGATTTTAAAGAACGTAATACAGTCGTGAACGGCGAATATTATGCTTCTTTAATATATAAATTACGAGACAAGATAAAGGAAAAACGAAGAGGCAAGCTGTCTAAAGGTGTCCTGTTGCTCCATGACAACGCCCCTGTTCATACCGCTGGTGTTTCGAAGGATGCAGTTCGTCAATGCGGGTTCACAGAAGTTCAACATCCACCTTACAGTCCAGACATGGCCCTGTCCGACTATTATTTATTTCCAAATTTAAAGCGGGACTTAAGAGGAAGAAAATTTTCAAGCGATGAAGAGTTGCAGGCGGCCGTCTTCAGTCATTTTGAGGATAAAAAATGTGATTATTTTTATAAAGGTTTAGAGATGTTGATTCACAGATGTCAGAAGTGTGTTAGTATTCATGGTGATTATATTGAAAAATAAAATTGGTTTCGTTTCATTTCCTTCATTGGTTCATAGTTAGGCCAATTGATTATGGGACCGCCTACGTAGATGTATATGGGCCGTAGCATCCACTTGCAAGCAAGTGGACTGTGTGCTCGTTCGTCACACTTTTTCTATAAAAAAAAAAACGTAAGTCCCCAAGGATGGTAACATATTATCTTCATTTTGATTCTTAATCAAAGATAGATGTACTAGTAAGTGCCTATGGGCCTCGACATCCACTTACCAATAGGCGGACTAATAAATAAATACTCAAAATCTACTTAATTTTAAGACGCTGTTAAATCTCATGGTGTCACAGTCACTTTGACTTAAAGTGAAAGAGACAGCACGATATTTAACGACGTCTAAAAATTGAGTAGCGTTTGAATATTTGCGCGTATTAATTTAAACTGTAGGTATTTGTTAAAAAAGTCAATATTAACATTTAACTTTATGAGTCGTCACAGCATTTCAATAAGAGAAATCCGTGAAATAATTGAGGTTAATAAGAAGAGCGAAACGATCTCAAGTATTTGAATCATATGTATTTCTGTTTTTCCATTACTTAGTTGAGTATTTTGTTTTGAGTATGAGAATAAAAATATAATAAATGGCAAAAAATAAAAACATGAACAAGTGGTTTACTTCAAATTAATATTTTATTTTCAAAGAAATATTAAGCATATTCCTTTGAAAATAAAATATTAATTTGAAGTATACCTCTATAAGTCTCACGCTACAATCAGACTTTATGAAATATAGTAACTTCACCTTCTTGTAAAATTATGGTATTAGGAATAATTACGGAACCCTAACATAGTAGGATACTAAATTATTGATTAGGGTTGGCAGCCCTAGGTACGGAATACGAAACTAAAAAATATTTGGGTTCGGATCTGCTTAACGACTACTGTCGTGGACCACTCTTACCACAAGCATTTTAAACTTAACTGGAGTGGTAAACGGTAATATTAGTAGTGTTAATAGTGCTGCTAGATTTCTTTTTTTAATGATCTTATATACTCAAAACAACTTCAAACAGTGGTAGAGCCACGCGGCAGCTTTTGCTGTCGCACGAATGGGCCGGCTCGAACCGGGGTGGTACCACGCCCTCACAGAAAATCAGCGTGAAGTAGAGGTTTACCTCAGCGTTTCGCTTGGTGGGTGCAGGTGGCCGGAGGCCCTTTTTACTGGAAATGAGGCATTCCATCTTAGTCCTCACGGGTGACAACGCATCTACATTTTGATTTGTAATAGAGGATATTTTGATTTGTAGTAGATGTCTATGGGCCACAGCAACCACTTGCCATCAGATGGACTGTGTGCTCGTTTGTCACCCTTATCCTATAAAAAAATACTAAGGATACAAGATTAAATAATTACGTGTTGGCGGACTACACCCCATCCTCGAAATGTTTTTAATTAGAGACATAAAGATGTCAAATCAGAACTTAAAATTGCAACTATACCCTGTACAACATAGCTTGACAACATAGATGGGTCTAGTGATGGGAAACAGAAAATATCTAGTATTGCAAAAAATTACGTTTTTACATAGGTACTTGTAACTGTGATGTGATGGTGTGACTGTATGTATGTTTTAAACTATTCAAAATAAATTCATTCATTCATCATTCAACTTTATTGCACTAGATTTCTAAAAACGTTGGTTAGGTAAGCGACGACGGGTTTTATATTATTCATATAATATTGAGTTAAAATCAAGGTTGAAAAATAAAATAAAATTTTATCTTTAAATCATGGTTTTTATTCGGAAAGAGAAGCACAACAAAGATTTTCATCGTCGGAGTCGTTGTTGCTAAATCGATTAAAATAATTTTAATTAAGGCTTCTTTGTAACCGATATTTATAACAGTTACTACCTGTTATTTGAGTCCCATCCGACCGACCGATGTAACATTGCACTAGCGTCCATTGTTTTTATTTTTTTAAATTAAATCTTACTTTGAAGCAATAACAACCACTAAGATTTTCGGTAAATGCTTGAATCTTTAATACTTTGGTGTTGTGTGTCTATTTTAAAAAAAAAATAATTTGTCATTGCAAAGTTATGTCGATCGCAAATTTGACATCTGTCAAAAAGATCAAGCTGTGTTGTACAGAGTATAATAAATTTCATTGACGTAACGACCAACTCGTTTATTCGCTCACTATAATATTTTAAAGCAAGTGCTTAATTTCTTTACCTCTACGCAAACCCACGACTATGTAACAAGAATGAAAAGATAGCTTAAAAATAATACTAATTTCAAAGAACCAAAAAGAACGAAATAATTTCCACATTATCTAATAGCTTCTGATGTCGGTGTTTAGACAGAGTATGGAAGAATTAAAGCCAAATTCAGAACCTATGATGCAAAAATTATTTGAATCTTTTCGTTCATTGAAGTCGGTTTTTACCTTTTTATATTTCACTAGCTGTTACTCGCGACTTCACCCGCGTGTAATTTAGGGTTTTAGTTTTTTTGCACGGAACCCATTTTTTTTCTAAATTAAAAGTAGACTAGGTTACTGCTTATAACATCAGCTATCTGCCAGTGAAAGTCCCGTCAAAATGGGTCCAACTATTTCGAAGATTAGCCGGAACAAACAGACAGACAAACATTTTAAAAATTATGTTTTTGTTGTAAGTAACGTATTTACTTTAATATGCATTTAGTAAAAAGCTGTTATTTTTATATTACAAACAGACACTTCAATTTTATTTATTTGTAAAATGTAGTATTAGATATAACCCTTTTGAGTTTAAGTACATATATTATAGTAATAGTAAAAAAAAAATTAAGTGGTAGAGCCTTGATGCAGCTATATTAGTAGTATAGTCGAAGCACGAATAGGGCGGCTCAAATGGGAAAGTACCACGCTCTCACAGAATACCAGTGTAAAATAGTTCCATTTTGTCTTCAGGGGTCTGCATTTTAATTCGTAATAGAAGTTAGATCTACATGTTATACCGAAGATAGATCTGTGTTCGGTAGATGTATTATACTATCTACATATCTATGGGCCACAGTAACCACTTGCCATCAGGTAGTGTGTGCTCATTTATCACCCTTATGAGATCACCAAAAAATAGAACGTCGCCAGAATAGGTAGTAATATTAACATTTTTATCCCATATTTTCCACCTTTAGGGTTAGAATTTTTTTCTTTAAATGGAACTATCTTTGAGGTTGCCTATTTAAAAATTCCAATTAAATAAAAAGTTCTATCCGAAAATCACTTCATATTGACCTTCGAAATCATTTTGATAAATTTATTATGAATAGTAGATTATATTTTCAAAAAATAACTAGGCCTATTGTATACATTATATGATATATTACTTATCAAACAATGTAATGTACTTACTTCCTTACGTAATTGATATGAGTGGGTACTTTTAAATTAATTGATATATTATTGAAAGATGTAATTGACAGACTTATGGTAAACAAACGTTTAAAATCATCATCGACCATATTAAGCCAACGGCCAGTGTTTATAAGAATGTCACTAACCTCTACCAAGTACTTTAGATTAGTGACTGCCATCGTTTAAAAGACAATTAAAATTACGACTACTTTAAAGAAGTGAATTATGAATGTCGCCGGCGGAGGCCACAAAAAAAAACCAAATTTACTTTACAAATTAAATTAAATAAAATAACTAATTAGGTGTCGGCTGACACCGCGTGCGTATTGTAAGTCCACGGCGGCCGCATTTCCTATCAAGTAGCAAAAGTGCCCCATTGACACGATATTGCAATATAAACGATATGTGTGGGAATGCGAGAAATAGTTTGAGATTTTGAAAGGGGAGATCTACATTACAAGTGCAATAATAAACTGTTCTAATAGCCATACAAATTATTAGCACAACGATATATCACAAACAGTACAATTCCCAATTCTGAAGACGCAATAATCATTATTTTTTTTTAATGTCATACCAATCGATTTATATATTTTGAATATGGAACGCCCAATAAAAGGCGGCAATAGTGGGTTCAGTCCTTACGGCATAAATTGTTGTTTATTGAAATTCTAAGTGATCGATATTGGGTGTGTTCCGATAAACACTGCGAGCTCTGCTCTCTCAATGGTGAAACATTCATTTAACATTATGGACTGCCAGTATACTGACGCAGTACCTTAGGGAAATATATGACGTCATAAATCGCCGCCATTTTTATACTGTGAGCACTGGCGTTTTCGTGGTAAGGTACTATCAGAACTTTGATTACGTGATCAAAAAACAATAGCGCCTTGAGATTTAACAGCTTCACGAATGATTATTATTATTACTAAATAATATTGTTATTCAAATAACGCGGACATTAAGTTTTGAAAGCAACAATATTCAAATATTTTTTTTTTGTTGAACACGTGTACATGATAAATATTTTTATTTGAAA